GACGATACTTGGGCGCTGCCAATGACTGTGACTCTTGGCGTTCCTTCATTGCTACATGACTGATGTTCGAAGCGGTGGTGTGCTCTTTGCAAACAAGTTCTACCTAGCTCGACAAGACTGGTCGTACTTGGCAAGAAGTTTGGATTTGATCTTAGATCGAATTGAATCACAGATTCTTGGAACCAACCTCAATTCTCCTCCAACGCTCGTCAGGCAAGAGACGTTTACAACCCTTTTCTTTTACATCACATTTTGACAACATGTTATACAATGACCTCCGTTTTTCTTTAATGATAACGTTCAAAATGCAGTTGCATATCTTCAATATCCTACTATAATAACGCGCTAAGGCCGTCTGTTTTTTTGTGTGTCTGTCTGTGTGTCTGTGTGAAAATCTGTCTGTCACGAAATTCATAGAGGAAGCTGCAATTAAGCTATCGCGCTGCAATTTTGCATAACATACCGTGCCAGCGTGTAGGCCCACCATGCACAAGGAGGACCCGGTTCGATAAGCGGGTCCCTCAAAATTTGCGCGTCAAATGGGTCCACTCTCCTTTTGGCATGCAAAACTGGGTCGCTAATTCGACTTTTTGCAAAGTTATGATTTGCCTGACAAGTAACTCTGCGCGCCATGAATTCAAGCCCAAAAAGTGCTCAAAAAGTTTGCTTTTTTGCGAAAACAGCGCCAAAAAGTGATGAATGCGTAGATAGTCGATTTGGCAAGGTTTTATCTGAAAAGACTGAAACGATTTTTGCACTGGAATGTAGCCCAAGGTGACTATTATCCTTGAGACGATTATCAAAGTAAAGGTAAATTCAGTAATCCGTTCAAATTCGCATTTGTATCCTCGCAACAAAGTTTTTTTTTTCTTAAAATTACCGATCTTACATGGAAATGCTTCATGAATGAACAGTTGTTTACGATTCAGTTGTGATGCTCAGCATCGCGTGGTGAGTTTCAAAGCCATTCTCATGCGAACATGAGAAAGGCATAAGGACAGGGAGCCAGTGCGAACCTCCGCGAAGCGGAGGTGACGCGCTGGTGACTTATAATAACGGGCTAAGGATGTTTACGTGACTTTGTGTGTGTGTGTGTGTGTGTGTCTGTAACGAAATTCGTGGAGCGTGTTCCAGCCAACGTTCTAAGCCCAAATTTTGTATAGCGCATGCTACCTTCGTGAAAGTCCAACATGCAAAAGCACGAGTAGATTCGTTGAGTGGATCCCTCAGAATTTGCGCGCCAAACGGGTCCACCTGGCTTCTGCACCGCAAAAGTCGGTCCGTATCACCACTTTTTGCAGAGTCGTGGATGAGTTTGGTAAGCAAATGTGCAAGCGATGGGGTTTAGCCAGAAAAGTGGTCGAAAGTTTACTACATAACGAAAACGGCGCCATAACGAATTGGTTGTGTAAATGGTCAATTTGCCAAGGTTCTAGCTAAGCGTTTGAGAAGATTTTCGCAAGAGATGTAGCTCACGGTTATCGTTACCTTTATGGCGACTACCAAGTCATGACAGACCCAAAAACCTATTCAAATTTGCGTTTGTCTTCCTGCGAAAAGTTTCATCCACTCGAAATCACCGATCTCACGTGAAAAGATTTTCTAAATGAGTGGTTGTTTACATTTTATTCGTGGTAGTCGGCATAGTGCGGTGAGTTCCACTGCCACGATTTTACGAGAATGAATAAGGCACATAGATAGTAGAGCCAGTACGAACCTCTGCGAAGCAGAGGTGACGCACTGGTCTTCAATAATAACGGGCTAAGGGTTGTTTACGTTTGTGTGTGTGTGTGTGTGTGTGTGTGTGAATTTCTGTCTGTCACGAAATTCGTAGGGCGATTTCTAGCAAACATTTTGAGCTGGAATTTTGGTTATAGCACCGTATCACCATACAGGTGAACTATGCAAAAGCTCAAGCCGATTTGATAAATGGAACCTTCAAAAACTGTGCGTCAACCGGATCCAAGCACTTTTGGCCCGCCAAAGTGCATCGTAAATTGAAATTTTTGCAAAGTTGTGGATTTGTTTAACAAGTAAATCCGCAAACAAAGACATTAGCCCAGAAAGTGAGCAAATAGTTTACTTCCACGAAACATTGGCCACAAAAAAGATAATTGCCTAGATAGTCGATTTGTCAAGGTTTTACCTAAGGATTTGAGAAGTTTTTTGCTCAGAAATGTAACTCAAAGTTGTCTTCATCCTTATGGCGACTATCAAGCCATAATAACTCCAGCAACCGATTTAATTTTGCATTAAACTTTTTAAAGGAAGTTTTCTTCCTTTCAAATCACCGATCTTACGTTAAAAAGCTTTTGGAATGAGCAGCTGTTTACAAATCATTCGTCATGTCGGCATCGTGCGGTAAGTTTCAAATCCATCATTTTGCAACTACGAGGAAAGCATGTGGATAGTAGAACCAGTGCGAGCCTCTGCGGAGCAGAGGTGAGGCACTGGTCTTCAATATCTTCATATCATTTTCGCCAAGGCCACAGGTATATCCCAATATCGGTGGTTCTTGGACTTTATAGTAGCATTAGGTGAAATAGCGCCTGGTAGATTGTGTTATATAGAACACATTAGCTAATAAGCTTTATGAACAGGCGACCTGCACTCGTGCGTGCTGTGGTAGAATGCTAACGATAATAGGCGTGGTAGAGTAACATAACAGACTATCACAGCAGGTCATGCTTATGGCATGACCCGTACGGTACTTCGGTGAGGATAAAGATACGGTTATTAAGAAGGTGCCGACAATGGCGGCACACTCCGGCTATCGGGAGAATTGGGAACAGCGAAATAAATTACAAGTACAACATACATTTGTGCGATAAAAAAAGGGGGTGCCGCTTATAGTGGCACACTCCGGCCGGGCATGAGAAGAAAAGGAAGAGAATAACCCAACAAATAAATATTACTTCCTTATCGCATTTTTCATCTGTCAGGATCACGTATGGTCGTTGTCGTAGTGGATCGCTGGTGATTTTGAAGCGGTAATGGGCACAATCGGCGTTGCAGCATGGATGGAGCGGTAAACAGAGAAGCAATTGTATGTGATTATGACATCGTTTTTGGGAGTCCTTCCCCAGCGGTGAGTAGTATACAAGGTTTTGAGCTCCGATGCTTCGTTTGCCGTCGTCTTTGCGTCCGAGATGCTGCCACTCGTTTGCCTGCGGCAATCTCGTTATTATGACCTCCATCGTTGAGCGCTCGTTTGCAATGGTTGGTAAGGTACTATCGATGTCTTCTTCACTGTGATTTTTTCCGCTAACGTCATCTTTACTTTTTTCGTCGTTGTCTTGTCGTGGGTTATTGCATCGCTACTCATTTTGGGTAAAACGTCTAGCTTGTCGTTGTTGTCCCCATCGTTTCTGTTGAGCACACTTTGTATGTTTGAAATTCCCATGCAATTCATGAGCTTTGCGATGGGGAACTTCCTTCCGCTCCCTACTAGCTCTAGCATATCATCTGCCATGCGGTCTTGCAAGAGCCATAGAAACCTTTTAGCATCGAAAATTGTTTCAAAAAATCTTATCTCTTCTTCCAAAGTGTCCCAATCCTCCGCCATTGACTTCTTCGCAGCTTCGGATTCAGCCTCCTCGCATCTTTCCATTAATATGTCATGATCCATTTGTAGCGATTCGATGGCATCTTCAACTTCCATTTTGCACCTCGCTAGTGAGTCCAGATGGTCATGGCATAGATTTTGGCGCATTTGATCATCATCTGGAATGATAAATTTCTCACCGTGGCACGCGTACTTCTGCAGTAGCTCTGCAAGTTCCATGGTAGACGTTCTGAATACATCTTTGAGGAATGGCAAAATCCTCATTGTTGTTGTAGTTGTGCTGCTCTTGAGAAAGCACATATCGGTCTTATTTGGCCGATGCACCAAATGTATCGGTGGTTCTTAGGCTTTATAGTAGCCTTAGGCGAAATAGCGCCTGGTAGATTGTGTTATATAGAACACATTAGCTAACAAGCTTTATGAACAGGCGACCTGCACTCGTGCGTGCTGTGGTAGAATGCTAACGATAATAGGCGTGGTAGAGTAATATAACAGACTATCACAGCAGGTCATGCTTATGGCATGACCCGTACGGTACTTCGGTGAGGATAAAGATACGGTTATTAAGAAGGTGCCGACAATGGCGGCACACCCATTTTCTTATCTCTGACAAAGTTCGGCATGACGTTCGTGCTGTTGCAGCGTTGGAGGAAATTTAAGGATTGGCGCGCGACTACCACTTTTTTGTCGAACTCACTTGTCAAACGGAACAAATTTGGCGGTACGTTTCTCAATAAGTTCCAAGTCCCGTTTTTTCGTTTTTCATCGTTTTTTTTCGTTTTTTTGTGTGGCACAGAAATAAATTAAAGGCACGGCCCAGGTTTTATGAAAACGGGACTTGGAAGCAATCTACGGAACGCTTTTCTGAGAAGAAATAGCGTTTGTGAAGGAAGACAAAAATGTTTCGACAGAGATCAAAACGGCATTTGTTGTGATGTAATTGACAGCGTTAACCGTTAGACCATTCGACCTTTGGCATCCATCAGCATTTCTCGCAACTCATGCAAACATGCCATCGTTCCGCAGATAACGGACAGTTTCGAGATCAGCTTACTAGGCGAATGTTGGCATATGTACATATCGAAAAGTCACGGTCACCAAGTATCCTTTCTCAGTGGGGATAAGATGATCGTTGCAAAGACCCATATCAATAACTGGCTGCCGGATTGAAGAACTCCAAGGGAAAATTGCGCAAAAACACAGGTAACGAATTGTTTTTGCAACCCAACGCGATACTGCTAAATTCGTTGCTGTACGGCTGCAAATTGGAGAGTTCGATTTGAAAGAATTCCATGCTTGCTTTGATAAATAAGGCCGTCTGCTGAACAGAAGATGTTGAAGTTGTTTTCAATGTTTATTATTGACTAAAGTCTCACATTACTACGGAGAATATATCCTCCACAAACAATACAAACTCAAAAAGAAATTCCAAAGCATCTCTACTTACGGGGATACAAAATAATTTACTTTAGAAAAAGGTATATAATATGTTGATTAGGCGTCGTTAGATAATCACGTCACAAAATTCAAACCTACCCTAAGTCCTAGCTTTATACGAGCATGACATAACCGTTTCAGCAATAAATCTAAAATGACAGAGGCGAAAATCTCGACAAATGTAAGTATCATTCAGGGAACAGCATGAAAGAAGCATATAGCCATTGACGAGATACACTCAGAACTTAACTATGTAATAAAGAGCTTAATTTCACACTGATACTAGCTAATATGAGTGATTAAGTATTGGTATCCAATTAAAAGCAATTATTCCATTGAAAACAATGTTCTCCTTCTCCTTCAATACAGAAAACCCATATATGCAAAACCCATCCTTGCAATCCAGCATAGGAGTAAATTGAATACATAGGAACAGGATGCCAACTATTCATAAGTGAAGCTAAACGGCCAGCATATACTCTGTAATACAAAAAAAAACAGAAACATCAGACCTTCGCTTGACCTATAGCAGAAGAATTATGAGCATGTTACAGCATTAATTATACATACAGCAGAGTAAGAATAGCAACAAGAAAGTCTGCGTGGGAAAATCCCATTATGCAAAACAGCGACCAAAATATGGTCGCTTCTTCCAGTCTAAAAAAATGAAGTGAGCTATGATTGATGGATTTTACAGATTGATGATGGATAACGCAAATTATAACGGTATGATTATACATCGGGAGCTGCAATCACTTAAATTATACGTTAACATCTGAAGTCAATCACTTACATATTTTTACCAGATCCCGAATCACTTTCACACTGAAACATAGTACCGGTATTGAAATTCGATAAAGGACATTTTCATATGAACTTCAGTCATACACATACAGGGTAGAAAAAAACTCAAAACACTCAAAGATATGAAAACTTACAAGGCATCCTGTACTACCTGAACTTGCATAATGTCAGACTTGTGTTAGTTTGATGACTGATTAGAAGGCGGAAGGTGACCTCATATGCTAACCTGCAAATTCTTATTTGAGAGTTTGAATCATTTGCAAATGCAGCGCAGAAATATGCGGAGAAAAAAGAATTCCTAAATATAGCATTTCTTCGACACACTTTGAAGCGTATACATATCGTAAACATGTGATTTTGCGCCCCAACATCGAACCAGATTGATCTGGTAGCAGCTAACAAAGCACATTTATGAACCGACAAGGCCGTTTACTATATGTTCTACCTCCTTTTTAACAAGGAATGTGTAAAAAGAGAGCAACAGAACACTCTGGAAAAACTATACCGCTAGCGGTATAGTATGGCACATTGCATAAGAGACTATAAAATCCTCGACTACGTATCTCTTACTTAAGAAATACTTACATTGAATATGTCCTGAGCACTGTACGAGTTATTGCTTCTCAGTTAAAGCTCTTCCAAACTAAAGTGATCAGGTGCTCAACATTGCAGAACTACCTAAAAATTTCTATTGCAATGACAAACACTAACTTATTAAATCAATCTTGTCTGTAACTTACGATGAATTCAGAGCACAGTGCCCACATAGCGCAAGAAATCTACAGGCTATCGAATTCACCAGACCTCACAGCTCTAAGCATGGCTGAACTGTCATCTAAATAGATCTGTTTTCAATGGAATTGATAAATTCGGCTTTGGGCGGAGCTCCTTAACCATGGCAGGCTCCGCCCATAACCTTTAAGCGGTTGGCACATCGTAGGTATTCAACCTATACATACAGAGCGGATGTTGTTTATTGATAAGGAGGGTCGAGACTGAGGGAGGTACATGGGTCAGTTTCTGATTGGCATGACACCTAGCAGATACCATCTGCAAGCTTTATGTATTTTCATGACCTGTTTTTTAGGTATTTGAATATTTTGCTTGGTTGAATCATCAGATTTATGTGTAGCAGTGTTCAGATGCTATATACCCCAACTACTCAATTTACGTGAACGACATTAGCAACTTACCTGCCAGTCTAATCACGTCACCCCAAAAAGGCAACATTGTAACCATTTATTTGGGTACTTCAATGAAAACAAATTAGGAAAATGACATTTCGCTACAGCTGAATAACACCAACACCGGTTAACTACAACAATCACCAGTAGTTTCTAAATCTAAAGCCAAATGAAAAAGACTCTACCAGCCGTTGAGGTTACACAGACGATGACTACATCTTGGCAGCAGCTTCGAGCGCTCACAGCTTCAAAACCATTGGGTCCACCAACTCCTTCGACTTTTCGTGTCCAACGAGCAACTCAACGAGTTTCAAAGCAAACTCAAAGGCCGTTCCAGGCCCACGGCTGGTCACAACACGATCCGCGACTACCACACGATCCTCGCTGTACTTATATCCTGCGCAAGAACCGTAGATGACGCAATCTCTATGAAACTCAAGGAGAGCACAAACCTCCCTCCTCAAGCTGTTTACGAACACTTGGATGGCTAGTGACCAGCGCAGCTTTTATGGAGTGCGATTTTAGTGCTATAGGGGCGGCGCAGATGGCTGCAATGATTTTTCCGGCTGTTTCATGTGCTTTCAGTACTTGACCAACGGCTTCGCTCTGGAAAATCTTCGCATTACAGAGTCCTTGGTTGAAACTGCGCCTCTTCGCTTTAAGACTTGCGACGAAATTCGGAATGAAGAGCTAATGTAACTTAGGCAGGACCTAGAGCACAAAAGTTGCTGGAATGACTTGTCATAGCTTGGGCCTAATTTGGGCAGAGAATCAGTTGATGGAACTTATCCTTGATGATGATTTTGAACTTCGAATGATGAACACCGAAACAGTTTGACGAGCTATTATTGAAAAAAAAAGGCGTCACAAGCTTTATTTATGTATGCCTATGCTCCAATTTGTTATGCTCAAAAATTCTTACTTATCAGAGTCGATCTAGGGCCTTAATTCGAAGAAAAACGTGACCGAGCTCTTGCCATGAGTACAGGGTCCAGATGCGATAAGAGCGGTCTGCCTCTTCATATCTGGGATTAGGAACCCCGATTCTTGCTTATCTGTCACCATAGAAATAGTCAACCCATGCAAGTGTCTCACCGATGTTTGTAAAGGCTGCTGCATGACGAAGGCGCAATACCTTTGGGCGCGAACGCGGCTCTATTAGCCGCAGAGCGCATAAGACGCAGGATTTACAACGGCGAAGATACGCGCGCGCCGAGTTTGCGCCCGCTCAACCAATACTGCTATTGCGCCTTCGTCATGCAGTAGCCTTTAAATACATAGATTTTGACCATATTCTACAGTTTCAACAATTTCAATTTCTCGGAGATGATAGCCACCAAGTTGAACAGGCATGGTCTTCTTCATCTGACACTGGACAGTTGTTTTCAAACCTACCGCAGCCAGCGAGTTACTGCCTGGTTGACCTCCAGGTAGAACGACGACGTCAAAAGTTTTCGACTGGACGTCCTTCAGTGCACTATCCGGAGTGATCTTCGTCTTTCTAGCGCACGTTACCGTTCCAGCTCCATTCAGTCCGGCAATAGTCACCTACAACATGTAAAAAATAACCAAAAGAGAAAAACAAATGGCAAAACCGTACTTCAACTCCTCCACGCCTCAGAACATCAGCACTGATGACTGCTTCCATCTCTTCTGCTCCGTCGGCCAGAATGAGCAAAGCGGTTTTTGGTGGCGACATGCTGAATAAAATTTTGCAAGGACTGTATGAAAGTAGGCAAAATGAACTCATTAGTAAAATTTGGCAGCAAGTACCAATAATCCAACAAAGTCGACATGCACTCGTGAATGGTTTATTCCCTGCAGCAATCAAATAACAAAATAACAATAAGTCTACCTACGATGTGCTACCTCTAATAAATATACAGTTTTCAAGATTTTTCAATTTTTTTCTTCTTCTCAGGTGTGCCATACTTTCCTTCCTGAATTCAATAAATCATATTACGCTATCAATAAATCATATTACGCTATGTATTTTTGTTTCACACAGCTGTACGATGGAGATAGGTTCTGCAAATGGCAGACGCAAGAAAGCATCAATTACCTTGTACGCTTGGCGAACTTGCTCTCCGTAAGATAGCTCAAAAAGGGTCTCAGCATCCATTTTTGGAGGTGGCCACCGCTCGTTCTCCAGGGTGTAAAGATCCGCCAGTACTTTGGAACCCTTTTCTCTGACCTTAATCACAATACCGTGTTTGTTAACTCCTCTCTGAGGACTTGACAAGCTTTACGACTATGCCTCTATAAGGGGAAAGAGATCAAAATGGAATCAATCGCTAAAATGATAGGTCTAAACATAGAGGTCCAAGACTACTAATATTTAGCCTGGTCATTGAGGCAAAAAAAAATCATCATTAAAGCACATCATACTGAATCCACTTCATTCTACTTCGCTATTGCTCAAATCACTGTTTGTCCAATGATGATGCAGGTCAAGTGGATTGAGTATGGCTCGAGTCGATCACTTTGCTACACAGAGCAAAATCGTGCTCACTCCGCAGGATGCGGTCGCTGTAGCACAAAATTTTTACGACAGTGAATTCTTTTGCGTTAAGCACGTCACAATCTTTTGGAGAAAACCAGCAGAAGAAAGCATTAATAACTGACAAAAGATTGATAAGAACGATAAAAAGCTCAATATGCATTTGCAAAATGTGAAACCGACGCCGATAATCTGTTTCGCAGGAAAGTGCGTTGCCATGAGCGTAAAAAAACGCAAACATAGTTAGTGCAGATACTTAAAATGTCATACCTTAGCTTCGTAGATTCGTCTTCGTTTCTCAATCTCCACGTCAGTACGGAATGACACATAAGGCTTCAGTCTGAAATTGGATTGAGTTCTACGAAAAGTAAAGTAAAAAAGAAAATACATTTACTCCGAAAATGAGACCCACTTGAAGCCTTCAAGGTTTGGAACCACCAACTCAGCATGCATTTCCGGCACATATACATGTTTGCCAGTCACTGGGTCGATATAGCCTTCTTCATACACTCCGGTATACCTTGAATTCATTTACTCTTCTGACAGCATTACACCACAGGAAACAACTGTTACACAGGTAAGGGGTAGCGAAGCAGAAAAAGAGCAAAATGTTGCAAAAAAATAGACAAAACATTCGAGCGATTATAGCTGCGATGGAAGTTGGAAAAAATTCGGTCATCATAATCCGAAGTTTGAGAGAGGTAGTGTCTAAACGCTTGCGTTTTGAACGTGTCATTATCATTTATTGTCTGCCCTTACAGCAATAGAAGTTGCAAATGGGAGTGGAGAGAACAACCCTTCACATTGGAAGGACATCAGCAGTAAAATGACATAACGTAAGGTCTGCTACCAAAAGGCACAAAATCTAGAGGCGCGAATGCGGTCCATAAAATTCAGGTAAGGAGTTAGGTAGAGCACGCTCACCTAGCTAAACTGCCTCTGCACCTTCGTCCGGAGTCGCCTTTAGCTAAAGTATACAAGTACAGCTTCCTACACCAGCGTTGTGCAAAGCGTTCGGATAACCTGGTCAGGGGATGGTGCGTACTGCAGCAAACATACAGGGCGAGAGGCTGAAGGACGATTTGTCGTCAATAAATCGCAATTCCGCGAACAACTGGCACGAAGCGCTGCAGCTACATGTTATGCGTGAAGGTGCGTACAATGCGGTACTTATTGTTAGAACCAACAGCGAAGGGCGGACCGGATGAACCGGTTGAACTATGATTCTGCACCAATCTCTATCTTTGAGCTTCAGAATCTGATCGGTAAATAGGTGTGCTTGTGATCTATATGTTTATTGAAGACGTCTCAAACTTCAAAAAGTCCTTATCAATGTGAAAGAGATGGACAGCAAACTGGCGCTCCTTAGTTTTTGCAGAGGGTAGGGTCAGGATCAGGGGACAAGCGAATGGAGCCAGCTAGCACCACCAGTCAAAACTGAAGCAACTGATAGCCGTAACCCCTGATCCAAGCCCAATAATGTCGAACGGGGGGGGGGGGGGGGCATTGAAAGAAAGATCAAAATAGCACATAAATATGCAAGCTGCTATCTTTCCAAGTTCGCTGCATATCACTGAAAGCATATTCTCACGCAATCCACCAGGAACTTGTCTCACCTGCTGCGAGCACCCTAAGGTCGTCACCGCTCTGGATGCTATATGCGCCTCTGCACTCCGATTTTGGAGAACGAAGCTGCTTGATGACTTTCGAAATTCGAAGAGCTCTAAGTCAATGATCCTGTGGCCAACAACTTCAAACGAACCACACAAATACTTCAAACAAAGGTGTTAACCAACCACTGTGTCAAGTAAATCTTGTTATGAGTTTTGAGAGTACCTAGTATTGGTATTGTTTAGGTTAAAATTCCTTTTTCTTTCCTTTTTTTCGGCGTACTTCAAGAAAATAAATATATAACTACAGGTCGCCAGAAGGTAAGAGAGAGAGAGAGCCAGCACTACAAAAAACTATTGAGCTTTAGACAATCCCGACTGGTGAAACGGTAGCAATGGCGACCTCCTTGTGGCGGCAAATGGGTAAAGAATGAAATGTGGAGCTCAGCGCAATTAAAATCCCCAAGACAAGGTTATGATAGCGAGTGCAATGGAGCCTACTGTGAAAAGTAGCAAATCTGTGTCGGAGCAGTCATTTGAAGGCAGCGTCCAGGCAAATCTGATCATATGGGGATCTCACGTGGACAGTAATTTTGGGACCCTAACTAAGACACTGCCCAAACGGCAGCTCAGATGGTGCTCTAACGGATGAGGTATACGCCTCCAAACTGGACCCCAGATCTTATTACGTCTGCCCCAATCTGGATCAGGCCGAACCATCGGCTGAATTTGCGCGCTCGCAGCGCTAGGGGGTTGCGCTGCATATGCGCGCTGTCGCAGACAGTGAAGAGATCGAGGAGAGAGCAGACTAGCTAGCCGCAGATGTGGCGCGAAACCCTCGCGGCGCGGACTCCCGCCTTGCCGATTTTGGCCTGCTTAGGCTGCGTTCATACTGATCCCGAAGTTCGGGAACAGTTCCAGCACAGCGCTCGAACTAAGCGCTGTGCTGGGACTGCTCCCGAACTTCGGGATCAGTATGAACGCAGTCCTAGGATTGGGGCAGACTGTATACAGTCTGCCCCAATCCTAGGACTGCGTATACGCATGGATTTATGTGCAACACGTGGGTGCGCGAAAGCACGCAAACACGATGCAAGCCCCCCGATACGATCCTGGGGTCCACCTTGGAGGCGTACATCTCAGCCGTTAGAGCACCATCTGAGCTGCCGGTTGGGCCGTGCCTTAGTTAGAGCCCCAAAATTACTTCCCACGAATCTCCATAGGTTCAGATCTGCCTGGACGCTGCCCTTAATATAGTCGTCCTCCCCCCACTAGACACCTAGTGGACGAATTCGAATTTGAAGTACAGCACGCCGTTTGCGGCAAAGCGCGGTACCTGCAGCCCTCACTTTGATCTCGAACGGACGTTTTTGTGTTTTCGGAACGTTTCATCCTATTTTTTGGATGTTAGCAGTCTTCTTAGCTGGATTGTAGTCTTTGTTAGTCTTGAGTGATGTTTCCTGCTACTATGCTCGTTATTTGAATTATGATTTCAAATTTAGCTGAAATAAAAACCGAAGAAGCGAGCATAGTAGCACGAAACATCGCTAAGCAGCAACAATTTCGTCGATTTTGATTACAAACATCATTGAAACAAAAAATCACCATGCAACGACGAAGAAACACCAGAGAATATTGGATGAGGTTGAACTGGAGTTGACAATGCCGCGCTCTGCCGCAATCGGCGTGCTCTAGTTCAAATTCGAATCCATCCACTAGGGCCCGTATGCACTAACATTTTTGCGGCGAGGGGAGCGGCGTCCCCCGTTATGAAGGGACCGCGTGCGGACGCCGCTGCGGGTTTTTCATCATTGGGGACGCCGCTGCCCTCGCCGCAGGGATGAGTGCATGCGGCCCTAGGTGTCTAATGGGAGGAGGACGACTATAAACGTCAAGGATATGTGCAAAATTTGTAGTAGAAAAGCGAAAGACCTTTGAAGCTAATGACAAACAGGAACGAGTGTTAGCTAATCCCGCATCAGTTCAAAAAGATTCTTCCAACAGCACTCTTAAGACACCATGCAAGCGATACCATCTTTTGAACTAACGATTCTGCATCGAGACGGCAGATACAATGATATTACTCAATCAAAAGCTTGTACGGTAGCCAACTATCCCGACTCTATATCCCTCGCAAACCCAAGGTACATGCCTTCAGCCCTTTCATGTTCTCATGTAACAAAAGAAGGGACCTGAACACGAAGAAACTTGGAGGTAAAACTTCGCTCTACAGACAGAACTGGTTACAACTAACTAGCCGGAAAACAACAAAAAATTGGCACAAAAGAAACTACAGTGAGAGATACGTGCCGAGGTAAAAAAGTGAGGATCAAGAGTACCTGAAGGTACGGCGTGTGCGCGGAAAAAACACAACTCTGACTTCATGCTGTCACTCTCACTGTTCCAGAACTAGAGGAAGAATGGGATTCGAAACATTCTATGCGGCAAAACCCGCTGCCAGCTTTCCGCCAGACCTACGGCACCTCTCCGTACCGTCGTGCCTCCTCAGCTGATAGGTGGTTCAATCAAAGCCCCGTCTTCCATATGCATTGTTTATCAATTGCAGTCAAGTATTGTAACTATCGACGCATGATAAAGAATATGAAAGCCGAAATGTCGCCAATGAACATACTGAAGACGAGAGCTTTTTTGGAACACCTGTTCACTACACAACAGGTCAGAAACATGAAACCTTTGATAAATCCAAAGTGGCAATCATGGTGCAATGACTGCCTCATTCTAAATTCATGGAAATTCTTAACTATAACGAAAAGAAGTGCACCAGCTGAGGATCACGAGGACCACATGAGAGTCGCTAAAAACGCTAATTGATGCGTTTTTGTTCAATACGTTCATGGTAAACAATGTAAAAGACTTTGCTGACAACCAAAGCGGAATAAGTAACATGAGGTTCTACATTTCTGCAGCACCGGGGGCTTTTATTTGAACTCGTTCCCCTCCCGGCGCAGATGTTATACGTGCAGCCTAAACATTGCGAGTAAAGGCATCAAAGCAATGACACGAGATCATTATCCACTCAGAATGCATTTGCATTTAAGTAGGGTTGCTTTGACAACGAACAAACAATGTGCAGCAAGAGATTCCTAGAGATTTTAAATAAAACGCTATTAAAACCAGGCCCAGCCAACTCACGAGGGGCGCACCAATAGGAAATCCTCTTAATCCGCTTGATTCTTTTCATGGGAAACGCGCACACCAATTTGTCACTTGGCGACGATTAGGCACCGAGTATCGTCCCCTCCACAGATCGTGCCACCCTTGGTCTGCGTCTCAGACCTGTCACTTGTGGCTAACATGTTGGCAACATGGCAACAACATGTTTGCAACATGCAGCAACATGTCGGCAGAACATTTTGGCCACGCCAACATGTTGCTGCATGTTGCCAACGTGTTGCTGCCAACGTTGCCAATGGTTAGTCACACGTGGCACGTCCGCGACGCCACAAGGGTAGCACGATCTGTGGAGGGGACGATAGATGTTTCGCTTAATATAGTGTGCCTGCACAGTTTATAAAATGCGGTAAAATTTGCGCGTGAACAGGTAGCTGCGCCAGCACTGCCGGCATTTTGCGCGCGCAATTGGCCGGCGTCACAGTCAAAGCTATTTCCTCACGAGCAAGTTTTACCGCATTTCACCTTCTGTGCAAGCACATTATATTAAGCTGAACTACTCGACTGTAAAAAAGAATTTTATTGGTGCCCAGATTCATTGTACGCGACGCCAAATGACAAATTAGTGAGCGCGTGTTTTGCAAGAAACGGATCAAGCGGGTCAGTGGATCAAGTATAGCCCGGGTCCGTCCCTAACTTGTCAGATAGCCCTGACAGATCGAGCAGACGGAAATAAATCAGTAAACTTGACGACAGTAGCCAAAGCACAAAAGAAGCT